TATAAAGCCAACTGCCTTTTAACTCTTGTTCTTATCTCTGGTTGTAAGTGGTCTAAATGCCACTCCATGGAAGAGTGACCCACGCTAGGTGTGTGGGTTACAAACGCAGTACATTCAGAAATAGGCAGTTTACACCTGGGGTGGGCAAACACCTATAAAATGGTTTTGTTACCACCTGAATGGATCTTTCCCAGGTTAGATGTTCTCCTAATTGCTCTGTCCAGCTTTTCCACTTTCACGTAGCCACAGAATGGGGATAGGAAGAGACGGGTGGGTGGACATTTAAACCCAGCGGTGCCCCAAATTTTCAGGTGCCCCAACGCAGCTGTGGATTCTGCATGTGGGTAAGGATAGAAAGCCAGGACACTTTGAAAAGATAGCAGAAAATAGAAGGACCAACACATGGACCTAAAGGACACTCGGATCCACGACACGGCAGTGGGATATAGACAGAGCCGTGTGATCCGGGCTTCATGTGGTTGCCAATTAGGTCCGGGAGCCCATAAGAGAAAAAACCAAAAGGATCCGCTCTGAAGAAATTCTAAACTTGTATTCAATGGTTGCCCATCTTTGGAAATTCTTGCCCTTAGCCACCTCCGGTGAGCAAAGGAAAATCTTCCAAAAGACAGATTGGGAAACAATAGAACTAGATTAGAAATGCAATGTGGGGCAAGAGCTAATTTGGTCTTTTTTGTCCAGAGCATTGCAAACGGTGTTCCTGATCAAGGCACATACGAAAAGAAAAGTCCAAGCAGCAATGCAACCCAGCAGGGAGCAAAAATCAAACAGGCTTCATTCCATATGCGGCAGGATCATTTTTCCTAATCTCCTACCTAGTCCTTCCCCACTGCAACGTGAGACCGATGCTCCTCGTTCTACTGTCTGCCCCCCTCCCAGAACAGCCTCTCTCCATCCTCTGTGGAACCCCCCTTCAGGGAGTTGAAGGCTGCTCTCAAAACCCCCCTCACTCTTCTCTTCTTCAGACTGAACAAGCCCCAATGTCTCCTCCTCTCCTTATAGGTTATATGCCCTGAATAATTTTTTGTCGCCCTCCGCTGGAGTTTCTCCAATGCGCCCACATCCTTTCTGTTATGGGGGGCCCAGAACTGGACGCAATCCTCCAGATGTGGTCTCCCCAGTGCCAAATAAAGGGGAACTATGACTTTTCTAGATCTGCGCATAATGCTCTTCCTAATGCACCCCGATATGCCATTCGTCTGCTTGTCTACAAATACCTGTACAAAATTTAAATGATTTGGGGGGCTGGAGCCCATGACCTACGAGGAGAGGCTGAGGGATTCGGACTTGTTCAGTCTGCAGAAGATAAGAGTGGAATCAGGGGAAGGAAGTGGGGGAGGAGCTCCGGGTAGGGGGTTGAGATGTGGTAGGTACAGGAGTGTAGGAGTCAGGGCAGGGGGTTGGGAGGTATAGGACCGCTTAGGAGAGGCGGTGGAGGGGCAGGGGGAAGGGCAAAGAGATGTGGGGTGGGCTAAGGTCAGGACATTCATCAGTTGGAGAGGTTCGGGCAGGAGGCTGTGGTGTTTGGGGGGAGCTCAGGACTGGGGGTGCAGCCACCATGCTGGCCGGCTGCCCAAGTACCGAGGTTGCCTGAGATGAGGATGATGTTGCCTGGCCACCAGGACCACGTTGCTTGGCAACCAGGACCACGTTGCTTGGTCACCAGATCCCCGGGGGTTGGCTGAGGCGGCAAGGACCCTGCTACATGGATGCATGAAAACCAACACTGCCCGAGCCCCCAGTCAACACATCTGAGCCGTGTGTCCCATCAGGGCATGCCGGCTTCTTTTAAGTGCCACCCTGGATGAAAATCACCCCTCATTTTCGCTCTCTCCATTTCTTCATCTGCAGAAGTAGGGTAAATACCAACCTACCTCAGCCTGAGATGGACACAACTGACAGGATCTTTAGAAAGATCTTTAGGTGCACGGTGCTGTATAAATGATAGGAGAGAGAGTGTAGAAATGTCCAATCTAATGAGGACATCTTACCTAAACGATCGCTTTTGTATCTGCAGAACTGCTCATGGGACAATTTGAAATTGAACCATTCCGGGCTCAAACAAGCACCAAGTTCTTGGCCATTATTACAATTGCAATTAAGAATCAAAACCATCCCTCCCAGCCTTTGCCTATGTGTTCTGAACATTTCTCATGAGCAATTCCCAGATTTCAAAATTTTGGTTTCATCCCCAATCAGGTCTGCAAGTTAAAATTTCCATTTTCCCCCTCGTGAAATAAAAGATTTTCAGATGTTGCATTTCCATCAGGAAAAGGTGTTGAGTTTTTTCCTAATAAGGCTTAAACATTTCATTTTGGCTGAATTATTTTTCTTGTCGATTTCCTATTGAAAATTTCGACAAAATAGGAACATAGTCTAAATATTTAGCTGTATTCTCACATCTGCATTTTTTTATACAAACATTCCTCTAAAATTTTTCACCCAGGTCTGTTTTTATTAGTTTTCTTCTGCTTTTCTAAACACAATTGGTACTTTTCCTTAGAGTCTTATCCAGGACACTGGACATTTCTTCAGACTTTAGATCTTTAAATTCTCTTCCCCCCAAAAAACAAATCAGACTGTTTACCTCTCTTTTGTACTCTCTCAAGTTTTCTATTAGCCTGTTCTTTACAAAGGAAATAAAAAATCACGAAGACTCAAAATGGGCTTTGATCCATATGTGATTATACCATAATCAATACCATTTGATTTGAATGGTCAAAAGGTATTTTGGAAGGTCTTTCATTCCACGATAAAAATGTCACTTTGAATGGTCCATTGCAGGAACTCAACGAGTACTGTAACTATTGCTGGAATTAGCTTCACAGCTCTGCTGAGTGATAAGTAAAAATCAAGATCCTTTTTAGAGCTGGAGACAGTCAAAAAACGAGAAACACCGTGTCCATCATCTACAGCTGTTTTGCGCATTAAAATTCCATCTGTCATGTGGAAAGAGGAGCTTGATTTTTTTCAGGATCTCTGTCCTATCCTTCCTTATTCTCTGAGAGAGGCAGGAAATATTCCTTTTACAAATCAGTTTCGTTCAGTTTACTTCAAGGCAGCTTTGCTGATCTGCGCCCCCTGGGATGGGGGAGGGATGTCTCAGCGGGATGCCAATTAGAAGATCCTGGAGTCAATGTCTCATGAAAAACTCAACAATCAAGCTCCTGGATGTAGCAGGAGAAAAGGTGGGAGGTTGAAAGGAATGGGAAAGAGGATAAAATTGAAAACATTTTATGAAATAAAGCCACCAACGCATTGATCTGTTGGTCAATCTACCTACTGGCTTATCTGTCTTTCCACTGGTCTGCGTGCGAGTTGTCCGTGTTTCAGTTGGTCTGCCCTCGAGCCTTTCTGTCTGTTCCACACAATCCAGAAATTTACAGTGAGAAGAATCCACTTTGGAGAGTGATTTTCCCCCCTGTCAGACAGAGAATATAGAGGCCAGTCAACACAGGTTGGGGGTTTGGAGGGAACCTAGTCAGTCTCACACATACAGAATGAGAGGTGACTGTTTAGGAAGGAGTCCTGCAGAGCGGAATCTAGGGGTCATCGTAGACCACAATCTAAACACAAGTCAACAGTGTGACACTGCCGTAAAAAAAGGAAACTTGATTCTGGAATGCATTAATGAGAGTATTGTGAGCAAGACATGAGAAGTCATTCTTCCGCTCTACTCTATCCTGATTAGGCCTCAGTAGAAGTATTGTATCCAGTTCAAGTTCAGAGCACCACATTTCAAGAAAGATGTGGAGAAATTGGAGAAAGTCTAGAGAAGAGCAAGAAGAATGATGAAAGGTCTAGAACACATGAGCTATGAGGGAAGGCTGAAAGAAATGGGCTTGTTTAGTTTGGAAAAGAGGAGACTGAGAGGGGACAGGATAGTGGTTTTCAAGAATCTAAAAGGGTGTCACAAAGAGGAGGGAGAAAAATTGTTCATCTTGGCGTCTCATGATAGGACAAGAAGCAATGGGCTTAAACAGCAGCAAGGGAGGTTTCAGTTGGATATTAGGTGAAAATTCCTACCTGTCAGGGTGGTCAAACACTGGAATAAGTTTCCTTGGGGGGTTGTGAAATCTCCATCACCGGAAATATTTAAGAACAGATTATATAGACACCGGTCAGGGATTGTCTAGATGGTGCTGGGTCTTGCCGGGAGGGCAGGGGTCTGTACTCTATGACCTCTAGAAGTCCCTTCCAGTTCTCATGTTCTATGAATCTGTGATTCTAAGGGTGATTCGCAAGGTAAAGGAAGAACTTGCCCCTCTTGGCTTTGGGTGAGCCTTTGGAAAGGTATTACATGGAAGGACAAAGAGAGAGCAAGGGGTTGTTTTTTAGCCAAGCTCTCAATTTCTTAGGGTATGTCTACACTACCACCCTAGTTCGAACTAGGGTGGTTAATGTAGGCAACTGGAGTTGCAAATGAAGCCCGGGATTTCAATTTCCCAGGCTTCATTTGCATGTTGCCGGGCACCACCATTTTTAAATGTCCGCTAGTGCGGACTCCGTGCCCGCAGCTACACGCGGCACGAACTAGGTAGTTCGGATTAGGCTTCCTAGTCCGAATTACCTGTACTCCTCGTTCCACAAAAAAAGGCCAAACTGGTTCAGACCAAAGGTCTATCCAGCCCAGTGTCCTGTCTGCCGACAGTGGCCAATGCCAGGTGCTCCAGAGAAAATGAAAAGAACAGGGAGTTATCAAGTACTGAGCAAGGCACGGTGGTGTCCTTATCGCCCATGTACAGACAAACAGAGGCTAGGGACACCATTCCTACCAAACCTGGTGAATAAGTGTTGATGGGTCTAACCTCCATGCATTTATTCACTTATCTTTTAAACCCTGTTAAAGTCCTGGCCTTTAAACCATCCTTTGGCAAGGAGTTCCACAGGTTGGCTCTGTGCAGCATGCTTCTTTTTGTCAGTTTAAAACCTGCTGCCTATTAACTTGGTGACCCCTAGACTATATTTATTGTTTCCCACAGATGCAATATGTGGCAGAAGTAAGAAAGGGGAACGTCACCACGGTGACGGAATTCATTCTACTGGGATTGCCCAACCACCAGGAGCTGGAAGTGCCTCTCTTCTTCATTTATCTGGTTTTTTATATTGTTACCGTGATGGGGAACATCCTCATCATCCTTATCACCATGGACCCAGCTCTCCACACCCCCATGTACTTCTTTCTCCGGGTCTTATCCTTCCTGGAGATTGGATACATCTCGGTCACCGTCCCCCGGATGCTGGTGAACTTTCTCTCAAAGGACCGAACCATTTCCTACACGGGGTGCGCAGCCCAAATGTTCTTCCTGCTCTTCCTTGGGATCTCCGAGTGTTTCCTTCTGGCCTCCATGGCCTACGACCGCTATGCGGCCATATGCCACCCGCTGAGATACCACCTCATCATGAACAAAAGGGTCTGCCTGGCCTTGACCGTTGTCTCCTGGTTCGGTGGTAACGTGCTGTCACTCATACAGACCATCTGGGTTTTCACCTTGCCCTTCTGTGGGTCCAACCAGATCAATTATTTCTTCTGTGACATCCCCCCGTTGATTAAGCTGGCTTGCACCGACACCTCCTTGTACGAACTGCAATTGTTTACGATTACCATGCTGTGCAACTTCACTCCATTTTGTCTCATCCTTGTCTCCTACATTGTTATCATCTCCACCATTTTAAAGATGGCCTCGGCTGAAGGCCGACAAAAGGCCTTCTCCACCTGCTCCTCCCACCTCATTGTGGTGACGTTGTACTACGGCAGCAGTTGCCTGATCTACTTAAGACCCAAGTCCATGACCTCTCTGGAAAGCAACAAAGTACTCGCTCTAGTGTACACGACCTTCACCCCCATTCTCAACCCCGTCATCTACAGCCTGAGGAACAAGGAGGTGAAAGGGGCGCTGTGGAGACTTTTCGGGGGTGGGCTGAGAAGATAATCTACTCTCTCACAGAAAACAATCAGGGTCTGGGTCTTGTTGTCAGATGAGATGTCCAGCAGTCAAAATCCAGAGTAGGTCCTGTGACATCAACAGAATTCCGAGATGCGGGTGAAGGTGTGTCCCAAAAGGGCAAAACGAAACATACCAAACTGTATACATACAAAAGAATGGGGACTAATTTGGCTACATCTACTCAAGAGAGATCTTGGAGTCATGGTGGAGAGTTCTCTGAAAACAACCACTCGGTGTGCAGTGGCGGTCAAAAAGCAAAACAGTGAACAGAATGTTAGGAGTTAATAAAAAAGGGATAGCGAATAAGACAGAGAATATCTTATTGCCTCTGTATAAAACCCTGCTATACCCACATCTTCAATACTGCATACGGTTGTGGTCACCTCATCTCAAAAAAGATATATTGGCATTGGAAATGGTTCAGAAAACGGGAACAAAAATGATGAGGGGTTTGGAATGGTTCCCATTTGAAGAGAGATTAAAAAGATTGGGACTTTTCAGCTTAGAAAAGAGGGGTATGTCTACACTACCCCGCTAGTTCGAACTAGCAGGGTAATGTATGCATACCGAACGTGCAAATGAAGCCCGGGATTTGAATTTCCCGGGCTTCATTTGCATAAGCCGGCCGGTGCCATTTTTAAATGCCGGCTTGTTCGAACCCCGTGCCACGCGGCTACACGAGGCATGGGCTAGATAGTTCGAACTAGCAAGCCATTCCGAACTATCTGTACGCCTCGTGGAACTAGCAGGGTAGTGTAGACATACCCGAGGAGAGGAAGGGGGATATGCGAGAGGTCTATAAACTCTTGACTGGTGTGGAAAAAGTGAATAAGAAAAAGCTATTTACTTATTCCCACAATATAAGAATGAACCAAATGAAATGAATAGGCAGTGGGTTTAAAAAAAAAACAAAGGAAGTTTTTCTTCACTCAGCGCACAGTCAACCTGTGGAACTCCTTGCCAGAGGAGGTGGTGAAGACAGGGATTTTCACAGGGTTCAGAAAAGAGCTAGATAGATGCATGGAGGTTAGGTGTGTCAATGGCTATTAGCCAGGACGGGTAGGAATGGTGTCCCTAACCTCTGTTTGTCTGAAAATGGGTGACAGAGAGGGATCACATGAGGTTTACCTGTTGTGTTCCCTCCCTCTAGGGCACCTGAAATTGGCCACTGTTGGCAGACAGGATACTAGAGTAGAAGGACCTTTGGTTTGACCCAGTCTGGCTGTTCTTATGTTTTTCTATTGGAAATGTTTTGTCAGTTTTCCATTGGGTGGAAATTAGAAATGTAGACAAAAAAAGGCCTTGAAACTTTCAGAAATATTGCCCCCAAAAGGCTGCTGCTTTGAACACAGAGAAAAAAAATCCCAAATCTCAACTACTCCTAATTGAACATAAATGCATTTTTCTTTCATACCAGCTCAAAATGGCAATGAAATTGTTTAAAAAGAAAAAGCTCCTTTTGGATGGATGGATGGATGGATGGAACAAACAGACAAACAGACAAACAGAGTGAGAGTGAGAGTGAGAGTGAGAGTGAGTAAGCCAATCATTTGGAGAATGGTTTTGAATAAAATATCACTGAAAATTAAAGAAAATGAAGACGAATACTCTATGTTTTAGAAAATGCATCTGTCCATCTGTGAGTCCCCCCATCCGTCTGTGGGTTCATTTGCTCAAGAAGTCCTCCGAAATGGTAACAGACAGGACCACCCAACTTGGTAGGCAGCTCCCTCTGATTGTAACTTCAAAGCAAGGGCAGGGTTTGGTTGTGCCAGGACAATGGGATGGGCCCGGAATGCGACTGGTTTCCATAATAAGTAAAGTGAGGGGGCTGAGAGCCGGGACAGTCGTGCTCCATAATGACCACAGGGAGGTGACTCGCGTACGGGACCATTATCCTGCAGACTACAATGGGTCAGCCACACCAGTAAGAGAGTCTCCAGCAGGGGTCAAGGCTCTCCATGTTGCAGGCCACCAGCTACAGGTAAGCGGTCCTGCTGCCCCAAAACCTCTGGCCAAACTCACCTTCCCCAGCCCCCTGCTAGAGCTGAATGCTGGTGCCCACTGGAGGAGCTCTTGGAAGCTCCCCACAACTACCCAGCTCCCTGCCCTGTGCCCCCAATACCCTGGACATCAGAACGGCCTAACGGGGTCAGACCAAAGTGTCCTGTTGGCCGACCGTGGCCAATGCCAAGTGCCCCAGAGGGAGGGAACACAGCTGATAATCCCCATGTGCCCTGATTCCTGAACCCCCTGCCCAAAGCCCCCCACTTTCTTTGTCTCTGGCAGGGCTCCTGTACCCTATCTGCTGCCATGAGTGACCCACACCCAACCCCTACCCTGAGTCCTGCACCCACATCCCTGCCCCTCATACCTCCCACCCCCCTGCTCTCATTCCACCCATCGTCCTGAGCACAAACACATTTCCCAGCCCCTGCCTGACTCCTGCATCCCCACCCCTACTCTGTGTGCGCCTACCCTACCCCCTGGCCTGATCCAACCACTGCCTTCCCTGTCTCCTGAGACTCACCCCCTGCCCTGAACTCCCTCACCCCTTTCCTGAGTCTTTGCCCCTCCACTCCTTTACTCCTGCACCTCCTAACTCTTGCCCTAGGTCCCCTAAACCTCCCATCCCCCTACCCTGATGCCTGCTACCCCACCCTCTACCTGGAGTTCCACCAAACCCAACCCCATCCCCCATATGGGCAGTGCCCAACTTACGCACGGGTTACATTCCCAACACCTGGTCATAACTCCATTTGGTCGTAAGTTGGAAATAGCCTTAAACGCGCTGCCCGCGCTGTTCGAAGAACTTGACGTACATGGTACTCAGCTAGACATGGTTCTCAACTTTTTTTTAAGTATTTTTTTTCAGAAAATGGCAGAAAATATCAATAATAGATGATAAAGTACAGAACAATTTTCTCTAAAAATGAAAAGATTGGGAGCAGCTGAAGATAATAAATGACACTAACTTTCATTTTTGGGCTTTTCCCCCACCATTTTTATGAAAGAGAGAGCAGAAAACAAAAAGGAGAAAAAGAGAGTCCATTAGTAGCCAGGTGATATTCACGGAGCCTTCAGAAAAGCACGGGCAATGTCATTCCAAACACAAACTCCCCCCAGATATTTTTCTCAGTGCCACATTCACAGCTTGGTTCTTCAGGGTGTACTAACAGCTGGTTTACAATGGGAGGAGGGGGAATTCCACATTGAGCTTTAAGATTTTGTAGTCGATGACTCTGTAGCTGGCACTTAAAGATACTTTTTTGAGGCTGTGTTACCCCTCCATTGACTTGACACCAGGTTTGTGTGTTTCCTGATGGTCCACATCTGCCCATGTCTTGCTACACGTAAAACTTATTCTGCACCTGGATGGAAAAAATCTGAACAGGGATGGAAAAGAGAAGAGAGAGCATTGATACATGCCGCTGTCATGTCAGCTGTGTCTACACTTGGGCTGTGTCTAGACTGGCCAGGTTTTCTGGAAAAATCAGCCACTTTTCCGGAAAAAGTTGCCAACTCTCTACACTGGCTGCTTGAATTTCCGCAAGAGCACTGACTTCCTACTGTAAGAAATCAGTCCTTTTTGTGGAAATACTATGCTGCTCCCGTTTGGGCGAAGGTCCCTTTTGCGCAAAACTTTTGTGCCAAAGGGCCAGTGTAGACAGATGAGATTTGTTTTCCGCAAAAAAGAACCAGTCACGAAAATGGTGATCGGGGCTTTTTTGCACAAAAGTCTGCTACCAAATCCACCCTCACTCTTCTCTTGGGCTTTTTTAGTCTCCACAAATCCCTCAGCCTCTACTCATAGGTCATGTGTTCCAGCCAACTCATCCTTTTGGTTGCCCTCTGCTGGACCCTCTCCAATGCGTCTACATCCTTTCTGTAGTGCGGGGCCCAGAACTGGACACAGTCCTCCCGATGTGGCCTCACCAGTGCCACATAAAGGAGAAAAATGACATCAACATCTACTTCAAGGTGCTGGGATATAAACAAAGCCATGTGACCTGGCCTTAATGGGATTGAAAATTAGGCCCCGATACCCATAAGAGAATAAAGACAGAAGGTTTCATCCACAATCATGCTACAGACGTTTGTGACCCAATCAGAGAGAGACAATGAGGAGCCACTGGGATTCCCAGGTGTGTGGGGTGCCCAGAGCTGGTAGCTTAATCCCATCCTTAGAAACACATGAAGGACTTAAATAGTCCCTCTTAGAAACCAGCACATTCATCCTCCAGAACGCTGAGACAAAGGAGCTGAAGGTAGGAGGAACTTGTTTTCGCTCCAGTACGGTAACTTTCCTGGTGCCGTTAAAAGTTTCCTGGCCCGAGGTTAAAACATACAGAAGAGCATTTTGGTTTTGCTCTTGTTTCTTGAATCATCATAGACTACAGACGTTTGTGACCCAATCAGAGAGAGACAATGAGGAGCCACTGGGATTCCCAGGTGTGCGGAGTGCCCAGAGCTGGTAGCTTAATCCCATCCTTAGAAACACATGAAGGACTTAAATAGTCCCTCTTAGAAACCAGCACATTCATCCTCCAGAACGCTGAGACAAAGGAGCTGAAGGTAGGAGGAACTTGTTTTCGCTCCAGTACGGTAACTTTCCTGCTGCCATTAAAAGTTTCCTGGCCCGAGGTTAAAACATACTGAAGAGCATTTTGGTTTTGCTCTTGTTACTTCAATGATCATAGACTCCTAGGGTTGGAGGAGACCTCAGGAGTCATCACATCCACCACCATACCCAAAGTAGGACCTACCCCAACACAATCATCCTGCCTATAGATAGGGTAGCCCTTAGATTTTACAGGGCCCTAAATGCCAGATGATGATTTTATAATCTTCAGCACTTCATCAACGAAACATTTTTAGAACAAATTAGAAATGTAGGTCCTATCAAATACTATGTAACTTACACAGGGTGGATTTGAACTAGGACGTGTGGAACTGAGGGTAGGCGCTTCTACAGCATGAGCTAT